GTATGCCAGGTTTGAATGAACCTGTGATGTCAGCAAGGAGCTGAAGCCTTTTCTCAGTAAAACCTCTATTTCTCATTTCCTGCGTTCAATATGATATAATCACCTACCTTGTCCATGGATGTAACTAAATACTTAAGAAGTAAGAACTAGCAATAGCTTAAATCATCGAAGTTACCAAAGGGGTATCTACATAGTACTGGACATCACGAAATGCTACTGCCAGTGGCTGGAAAGGTAGAACCAATCCTCCTGGAGAAAAAGAAAAATGATGGACAAACATGGTTTTAACAGAAAAACTTGTGTGCATGTATATCATTTAATAGTACATCACTATAAAAGAAAATGTCGTTGCTAGATTTATGTTTAGCTAAGCCTGAACCAAATAAGTAAAAAAAGAAAACATGAACAAGACAGTTACTCACCTTTTCTGGTTTCTCTAGTACTTTCAACCGGAGAACCAACAGGTTTCTTGTCAGCACCAACACTTTCTTGCTGTCCTTGTAACTCTGAATGCTTCTCCGAAGACACAAGAGTTCGAGATCTTGCAGGAGCTGATGGTACAGTGACAAAGTGAAGGTTAAAATATAGGTCTAAAAGCATTAATAAGTAAATGGTGATTGATGAACTTACAATTCAAGAAAGTCAACATCAAGGTAAAGCCTACATTGAACAGCACTGTGAACCCAATTAAGACAGCAATCGATATCCAATAAAAGTAACCGTCAAAGTTTAGCCCCCGGCTTTCAAGCACTTGCTGACCAAATGTTGTGTTTGCAGACATCTTCAATAAGAACAAAGAAATTAAAATGATTGGATAAGTTACATTTTCTAGAAGAGGAGTTTTATCATTGCACCGAGCTGCCAAAACTACATAACATATGATCTAAGATGAAAAGGCTGAAGTAACTAGATAATGAAGACAAGAAATATTTTCAATGACAGTTTGTTGTAGGCTTTCACATATTTGAGTACTCTCAGCTAAATGACAAAACTTCTTGAAGGCAAGAGAGGTAAAAAGGTATTTTAATTTGAGCCTTTGAATTATCCTATGACCAAATGAAGTTAACTAGCCAAGTCATGTCATTAATAAAAAAAGTAAAGAGTAGCTATGCCACCACTTTTAGTTGCATACAATGTATGTTAATTGAAGCACAAAAAGTAAGAGTTATACATGATTACCTTTTCCCACCTAGGAGCAAGAAATTCATTCACAGTTAAGCCTATCTCTCCATATGCCAAAGGAGAAACCCAGAATCCCCACCGCAACCAAGATGGCATATATGCTGCAATGAAAAAGCAACTAAACTTTATCTTCTGAATAAAATTCCCTGTTAAAAAGTAAATCAGCTTTGAATTCTTACGTTTTGGAATGATGAAGCCACCAAATAGTAAAACAACTAGTATGGTCACAGTACCAGCTGTCACAGAAGCAACCACAGTTTGGCAAATTGAGGCAATGAATCGAAACATGGATACTGAAGTCATGTGTACGATAAATAGGATAAGGAACTGGCGAAAGAACCTGAAGAAAAATTCAAGTGAAAACTTAGTATGCCAGAAATTCCCAAACACTTTTTATTGTAAAGAGACAGTACAAATCAACTAGATCCTATAGATTCTCCAAGTAGTCTTCACCATACAAGAACAAAGTAGCCTATAGCATCATTGTAAATATATCATATTGCGTGGAAATTATAGAGAGAAAGGCAACTTCAAATGTAGTAACTTCTTGTATTTGATTTGATGAGTATAAAGTGTTTTGTTTGTTATTTTACTCGAAAAAGATATGATTGAAAAATTTGGGAAGAAAATTAGCCTTACTAACCTTCCAATCTCAGGGCTGTAACCAATAACATAATAAGAAAGTGTTGTCCAAATGAAAGATTCCAACAGTGAAAGTGGAATCTTTAAAACAGCAGATGGAATTGTATAAGCCCAAGCAGGAAAAAAACACAACTCTTTTTGCTTGTAAATAACTGCAAGCCTGGATACAGTCATGGAGAGTTCCGGAAATCCATCAACAAGAAGTATGATGAGTGAATAAAACAATGAACCCAAAAAATAATTCCCATGAACCACATCAACAGCCATTCGTGTTCGAATGAAAACGGTCATTGCTACAAATGCAACAATGACAAGCTGCATGGATAAAGAATACAACAATACTAAGAAACTTGAGAAGTTGGGTATAGTTATCATGACAAAAAGGCATAAAAGTGAAAATAAAAAACACAAATTACCTGTGTTGATTTGAATACATAGACAAAAGAGTTTCTTTTCATTAGAAGAATTTCCCTCATGATGCAAGCCTTAAATAATTCCCATTTTGTTAATGAGTATTTTCCAAATACAAGGGCATTCTTATGGCTCTGAGACTTATCAAATGGCTTCAAGAGATCTTCCTTCAGCTTTAGACCAAAAGGGCAATCCGTAAATTTCTTAATGAACTGGTCAATTGAAACATAACTGTAAGGTTTTTCTGTGCTACTCCAATACTGTGCTTGATCTTTCTTAGAGATAACCTGGATTTTACAAACATTACAAATAATCAAAATCTAAAAAATACTATGTTAGAAATGGAGATATACACAATAGTGCTTAACATACTTCCTGAAGAAAGTCAGCAGTGCCTTTCCTCTGTGGGCATCTGAACCCACAGTCCTCAAAGAACTCAAGTATATAATCACGTGGACCATGGTAAACAATTTTCCCTTCTGCCATTAAGACGACATCATCAAAGAGATCAAAGGTCTCTGGTGCTGGCTGAAGGAGCGAAATTAATGCAGTGGCGTCTGTGATATGCACCAGATGCTGAAGACAAGAGATTATCTGGAAAGTAGTGGAGCTGTCTAAACCATTGGATATTTCATCCATAAGGAGTGCTTTTGTTGGTCCAACAATCATCTCTCCTGTATAATACTCCAGAATCAGGATTATGGTCACTCCATATATCAACTAATGCTCTAAAATTCTATAAGTTTGATAAGCTGTTATTATACAGTATACCAATAATACCTGTAGTTAACCTCTTTTTTTGACCACCAGATATACCTCTTCTTATAGGATCTCCAACCAATGTATCAGCACATATATCAAGACCAAGAATCTGTATGTTTTTGTAGTAGTCAATAAACAAAAGTTGAACATAGTAGAAATGGTAGACAAGCCGGTGAGGCTCTAGCTTTGTGGAGAGTACACTACCTTTAAAATGTAGTCTGTCTGAAGGCTACTGTTTAGTCCGTTAATTGATGTTGCCTGTACCAGTAACATTTCTTTTGGAGTAATAATCATCAAGAATGGGGACAACAAATTTGCATAAAGACTTTTGAAGGACTAATTTGAATTACAAAGTCATGAACCAATTATCCTATCAACATTATAAACAAAAATAACTTTTGCAAGTTTTTTCTGACCTCACTGTGTCCGAAAACAATAGACACTTGTCAAACTGAAAGTCAGGTTTAAAACAACCATAATTTGGTTAACATATTGAAATTTTAACTTCAGGTTTCCCTAAGTTTGTAGAACACAATGTAATGAATTTTTTAAAACTTCTATTTACATATTGAAGTTTAGTTAGATGGACATGCTGACTTTGTTAAAGAGTGCATCCTCGCTGTCATGTTTGCATGACCAACAAATGTTCTTTTGCAAAAATATAGCAGAATAATTGATTTATGTCAAATATTTTCCAACAATTATTATTTTATCACGTGAACAAACAGAATAAGCTGTATTTATTTATAGTAAACAAATTAAAACAGTTAAGTTTTATTTGTTACTGTGATATTTATGCTAAACCATTGAGGAAAATTGAACAAAAATTGGAGGTGCACAACGCAAAGATGTGTTCAGTACCTTCATATATGCATCTAAATCAGGGTCTGGGACTATCCCTGCCTCTCTCTCCCTTCTACTGACTTCCATCAGGAGTTCTTTCACACATGGGGCAAAATCCATCACTCATCAATAGAGCCAATATATGAAATTTATCTAATTTACTAACACTAAGAATACCTACCAGCTCGGCTTCCTACACCCTGACAACGTGCTGAGAAATCAAGTGTTTCCCTCACAGTCATCTCTGGAATATGCAAGTCATATTGGCTTACATATGCTGAGGATTTCTGAGGAATGAATTCTTCAAGCATGTGTCCATTGTAAGAAATGTCACCTTGAACCTATCAAAAAGCACGCACCACAACAATCATGGAAAATGCCCTTTTAACTTGAAACACTGGTCAATTTTTTTTTTAAATGTCAAATAAATTGAAAACAAACATTGAAATCATGCTGCCTCATGCATAAATAATTTCATAAAGAATGTAAGGAATGGTCGTGGGCTTGTTGGGATGGCTTCATCTCTAGTTCATTAGTATCACTGTATCAGTCTGAATAGAAAATGGCAGTAAGTCAAAAATTAAAACAACTGGTAGTGAGTAATGAGCATTGAATGTAATTCTTGTAGGAATGCCAAAGGATTCAATATATATAAAAATATATATATCTGAATTTTCTGAGTAAATTTAGTTTCAGGAGAGTCCACGGATTTTTCTCTGGAAAAATTGAAAGTTCAACTCATTTTTGGAGAAGTGGAACCATTGTTTCTCTCTTCCCTGCAGAGAAAGATTGTCACTCTCAACCACCCAGTTGTTGTTTCTTTTATAATTCACTCATTTTTCAAAATTATCAGTGTTATGCAGAAACAAGCTCGGAAATATTGGTGTCCGTTGTCAAAATTATCAGTCCCATATAGTTTAGAAGAGAGAACGGTCAGTCCAGAGCTTATATTATAAGAGAGACTCTTCAACGATATAGAAGCTTTTGTTTTCTTTGCCTTTCGGTTAAAATGAAATATCAATTTATTATTAATTTAATATTTTATCAGTTTAATATTTGACGGTCGTTAGCTCACACAATGTTATTTTGGTATTTTTAATAAGATATGTACTATTTTTTTATATATAAAAAAGCTACAATCTTAAATTACTTTTTAAAGATAGGTATCAAATGGTAAAATAATTTATTAATTTGTCCAACACAATGTGTTATTAATCTACAATGTGATATTACTTGTTCTACATCACCAAGTTACCAAAATTGTACACAATAAACAGACAAGAAACTTCACTTAAAAAAAAAGGGTTACACATTCATTCTTCTCCGGTCTCTATCTAGTGAGTAAATAACTGAATGCACATCTCATAATTATGTGTGTATCAGTGATCACAAAACACCAACTTGCCACCTTTGCGGCACAACCCCTGTTCCCCAACAGAATCAACAACCTTGCCATAACTATACCTCAAAGGCATTCTCCCCAACACCCGATGAAACTCTCCTATGCACCACCCTCTCCTCTTCCTATGCTCCCCCTTCCTCCCACTCAGTCCCACACTGCTCACTCCATCCTCCTCCTCATTCCTCGCGTCGCCATAATCCCTCACTCTCTTAGCCCCCACCAGCACCGGACCCTCCCCCGTCGCCTCCGCCACCACGAAGTTCATCAAAATATCCTCGCAGTTGCGCACCTCCTCCACGCTCCCCCGCACGCGCGCCATGCGGGCCCCGCCCCCGCACGTGTAGAGGAAGAGGTAGCGCGCGCTCAGAAGCATGAACTTGGTGAGCACGATGGAGAAGCGGTCGGGGCGGACCGTGTAGACCCACTCCCTCCGGTTCAAGTCGAAGTCGTGGGAGCGCGCGAAGAGCCCCACGAGACGATGTGGGGCCCGCTCCCAGACGCGGAAGGCGAAGTGTAGTGAGTGCAAGTCGACCTGGACGTCGTCGTCGCATACCAGAACGGCGTCGGTGGCGATGTGGTTGCGGGGGAGGAAGCGGTTGTTGAGGCTGGCGGAGCGTTGCGGGAGGAGGGAGATGGAGGAGGAGGAAAGAGAGAGGTTAAGGGAAAGTTGGTGGAGGACGTGTTTTGGGGTGGAGGGGTTTCCCCAGAGGATGAGGACTGAAGATACGATGGGGGAGAGTGAGTACGTGGCGGCCAGGGATTGGAGGAGGGGGATGCGGGACTCCGAGAACCCGCTCATGAGCACGGTTACTTTGTCGCGACGGAGGGTCTGTGTCTCTGGGTTTGTGGGGCTGCATTCTGGTGGTGTCGTGGTTGAGACGGTGGTGAATAAGGTGGCGCCGAGGAGGATGAGGATGAGGATGAGGATGGTTGTTGTTGGTGGAGTCATAGTGGCGTGAGGTGCTTCAAGGACTTTCAAGTTTGGAGATTTGTGAAGGGAAGTGGGTTTGGTGTTAACGCACCAATACCATAGTGCTCAAGTGGAAGTGGCAGTGTTGTTATTTTAAGGGAAAATGGTGTCAACATGTAAGGGGAGACATGAATCCATGAGATCCGGGTTGATTTATGGCGTTTGTTATTTGATCTTGAGTGTGTGTGCATGCATTGCTGCATGTAAGTTCCAAATTTTGATAACGTTAACTACACGTATTCTATCACACTTTTTTTGACATACTAAATTTGTTTTATTATGAGTCTCATATGTTACTTACCGACTCTTTTACGATTTTATTAGTTTTAAATAATTTTTTTTATTAATGTTTAAAATAAAATATTTTGTTATTTTGAAAGAGTGCAGCAAATTCTATTTTTATTTGTTGCTTAGATGTCACTCATCTGTATTATCTAAGCGAAGATCTATAAATCTTTTGACATTAAGTGTCCTATTGATTTAGATGCCACTTTTGAACACCAATATTCGGAGAGAGTTAGTCTACTGTTTGATGTTATATCATTAAAAATTACAGGTGCGTGCATCCTGTTCTCATTTAAGTAAGGATTTTATAAATTACTAGAAAAGATCTGAGAATGAGAACCTTGAGAGAATGGCTAAGTTTTCCTGCCAATGCCAACAATAATGTTGTTTTACCACTTGCTGGTGGGCCAAGCAATAAGGTCATCCTGCAACAGAATGAAATTAGTGTTACTTTCATATTAATTTACACCATACTGAATATAAGGTAACATCAAATACAATCAATAAATGTTCCAACTTCCAAATGATGCAAAAATTAATAAGAACTTGCAGTAAATACTATTACTACAGTAACAGTGTTGAACTTTGCAAAACATACCTTCCAGGCTTAATGATGCCATTGACACTTTTGATGATGCTTATCTTGGAATTTTGAGATTTCAGAACTGACAATTTAGTGGTGTCCTTTCAACAAAATAAGAGGAGGGGAACGTGTCTTAGGCAGTGAGCAAAATAATTAACAGAAAAGAAAAAGAAAAGGCCTATAACCAAATATTCATGTTTATAGAAAAGTTAGCTACAATTCATAGAAAGGGGGAAAAACTAGTTACTTACTAAGATCCACTCTTTTAGGGTATTCCACAAGGTAGGTATGGGCTTGCCCTGCACTACCTTACACTCTGCTTCCACACAAAGATTTTGATACCTCACTTCCACTGTGGGTAACTTAATACCAACTCTACAGTCCAAAAAAAAAACATAAATATATTAACCATATTCACATTATAAATTATGTGATACTACTAATATGTATAATTATATTCAGAGGTAGTGGACAACACATGAAACTTGCAAGCCGAGGGATATTTCTGTTATAAATGAATGTGATTTCTCTTTCTAATTTCCAATATTTGTTTGATTTCATCTTAAATAAATATTTGAAACAAAAAAGACCCAATATATATATATATATAAGTCGCACCCAGTATATGATGTGGGACATCCATTCAACTTCTATCCCATTTGAGTTGGACATCTATTGTAGCTTTTGCCATTAGATGAAGTGTGATAAATAATAATTTAGTTGACTTCTAAAATGATTAATAATTCAATAAAGTTCAGTGAAACATCTCCCCCAAGAGGGTAAAAGAGAGACACAGAGAATCTAAGAGAAATGATTACTTGTCAATTCTTTTCCTGAGTTTCTGCAGCAATCGAAGATTATCATTTTCAATGTGCTTAATAAGCTTCTCTATGAACATGTGGCGTTCTTGAGCTCCAAGCTTGCTGACATCAACTACCTGTTTCCCTTCATTTTTCTCACCTGATTCCGTGCCATCATAAACATCAAACAAAGCTGAAGTGATTCTGTCGAAGGTGGGTAGCCTCTGAATTTCACTCCATTGTAATGCTTCTCCCTCATCATTATCAACTTCTTGCACAGGGTTGATGCTTCGGAAACTGGAGGCATGGCTTCTAAATGAGGACCTTATACTCCTTCCTATCTCTGCCAACTCAATTCTCAGAGACTCTATCTCATCCGAACCTGCCAGCTGAGCCATCTCAACACCACACTCAGAGGCTTAAACGTCGGACATATGTGGAATGCATGATGTGTTACACTTTCAGACGTTATATAGAAAGTTCCCTGATCAGTTTTCAATATTTGTTGATGATGCAATGCATTATGTCATGTGTTACCCTGGCATGTGAATGGAAATTGAACATGCTGCTAAGGTATCAAATGAAAACGATCGAATACAATTACAAACCTTTTTTATTTATATTTTTATTATAATTGAGTTTTCACATATACGTTAGTAACCAAAGTCCATGCTGAGACATGATTGAAAATATTTTACTAAGAAAGAGGTAGGTATACGTGGGCAGAATTTAATTAGAGCACGCAAGGATATATCAAAGTGGCATGGTTCATTCCTTTTCTAGTTCATTTTGTGAAATAACAAGTTTCTGGTCTGTTGTACATGAGCAACAAAAGATCTGGGTTCTTAATGTGGTATCTTACACGAGTGCAGCTCTCTTCTCACCAATGTGAATAGGGATCATTTTGTGGAATATATTGGTGTTTAATAATAAAAATTTAGTGTCCTGTTGGGGAAGTCTAAACTAAATTAATTATATTATATAGTGGTCCTTTACCCTCTTGATCTAGAATTAGGTGAAATTATAACACTATCAGATTGTAAGGTGATACGTGGAAACTATGATATGTAATTCTGTCATTGTAAATTGAACATTCTACACATTAAACCTGACAACTACATTGTTTACAAACCTTATTTTGGAGAAGTTAAATTATCAGTTCTCTCTTCCACCGCAGCAAGAACATCAGTATCAAAACCACTCAATTGTTGTATTTTTACAATTCACTCGCTCTTGAAGATCACCAGTTTTATGCACCAGCAAGGATAAAAATATAGATATCTTTACTTTATCCCGCACCCGTCATCTGAGGTTCCAATGAGAGCAATAGTCAGGAATATAGATAGATAGGTTATAGGTTATTTTGACGCCCAATGTTCAAGTGTTAACGAGTAAGTCCCACATCCTTGAGAAGAGAGAGCAATGACTTGATGTTTTATGATAAAACGAACATCTCAGCTCATTGCAACTCATACCTTTCTCGGCCTTTTGGCTAAGATCAAGTGTAGTATCTGTTCTTATCAGTTTAATATCTGATATGTGGGCCATTGGTCCACACGATATTAAATTACTTTTTTGAAGGGGAGAGTCCATTACAGTAGCTTGCTACTGGGTCTCTCAAGTGTCGCCCTTGCGTTGCACTATTGCATGGGCCTAGCACACCCTACGGTACAGTTTCAAAAATTTGTGCTTCTAGTTGAATGTTGGGCCTATGGAACTCTACAAGTAATAAGTGGCCCATTTGTGCTTCTAGTTGAATGTTGTTCCTATGGAACTCTACAAGTAATATGTGGCCCATATTTAAGTTACATAGTTTTCTTTTTGTATTTTGTCTTTGCAATATTCTTTCGATTTTTCAAAATTTTAATTATATGTATTCTTTTGATTAACAATGGGTTTAATTGTTATTTTTCTAGTATTTGTCATTGATAACTCTGTTTATATTTTTTTCAGTTTTGACTGGTGATTCTGTCATTTAAAGAATTGATAAATATGATCTCACTTTGAGTTTAATATCTATTTATGTTTATTTGTTAATTATAATATAAAAAAATTGAATTGTCACAATTAAAATGTTTCTCTAATCTTATGTTGGATGTATTTCTGAAGAAATAATTTTTTTAAACTAATTTATCACTTGAAATTTTCTTGAAGAGTATATACTGCATAAGTTTTAGACAATGAGATTATGTGTAAATTGCTCAACACTTCATATACGAGGATCATTGTTCGTGCGAAATATACTTTAATTTGGTTTTATTTTATACAATTGGATAAAATATATACTTTAATTTGGTTTTATTTTATACAACTGGATAAAACTGTTGAGATGTAATTGTAAATGAAAAAAAATAATCAATTCTTTTAACCTTAAATTCCACCAAAAAAAATCGCTATATCCTATTCAGAGTTAAACTATATTGATATGCTAGGTGGGTGTTATTAAATAATTTTTATTAATCAATATTTAATTTCATTTTATATAAGTAATAAGCAAGGATTTTAACAGACAGGCAAGGTTTACTTCATCTAGTTCTGTCCCCACAATCAAGTTGTAATTGCTTAACAATAAATCTAGGTTCTAAATTTTATCCTAGTCCGGACCAATAAATCAAGTTGTTCTAAATTTTACAAGAGCTAGAATATATCTTTATTAGTGGCACTTTTACCCTTTATTTTAGAAGGATGTGTGAGTAATTGGTTGTGTTTTGGATTTCAGATTATATAATTTGTGAGTGATAAGTGGAAAAAAACTGAGAATGTTTAAAAAACTTTATGTCAATAATTTTAATGAAATCATAATTAGTGTGATGTCACAGACACAACCCTCGACCATCACATATTGTAAACAGAAGAAAGAACATCAAATGTCAATACTAGCAGTAGAAATGAGAACAAAATTTCGAAGATTTAAAATGTTATAGGTTAGGTAAACTTTTTACACATTTTTAAAGAAAAATTTAATATTATATTAAGTTTAAAATATTCCTATTTAATATCTCAAAATATGTATGGTAAAAAGAAATATGATCATGAAGTAGAAATATTAATTATCAAATAACAATATATATGAAGAAAAAAAATCATTAATATCACTTAAAATGTGTAAAACAAAAAATTAAAATATAAAAAATTACAATCCAAATAGAGTAGTTCCTTACTTTGTTGCATAAAAGTATGACTAGCCACAGAGTGAGCCTCCAAACTAGAGACAATGAGCCATAATTTGCTTTGGTTATGGTAGATTTAAAGTGCAAAAGAACTCTAATCAGACTGGTCTTTAATTGGTAACTGGTACTTCCGTGGTTATCTGTGTTCTTAAAACAAATCAAAACAATAAGTAATGAATTCATATAAGGAATTGGTTATTGATATTACAGAATCTATTGAGACTATCAGACAGAACAACCATGTAATCAAAAGACAACATTAACTTCATTTGGTTCAGTTTGAAGTTGAAATTTGCTGTTTCCACAGCCATATTTTTTACCTTCAAAATGTACTCCCTATAAACTTGATTGCCAGTATTAGCTTGGACAGATCAAAATTTGTGATCCCTAATGTTTCAATTTCAATATGGTTTTATTCGATGTCAGTTTCAATCTCAGATTAAAATATTGTAATTTATATATCTTGTGATTAGGAAAAAATTACAAAAGCATATATTCATGTTTGCACCCCTAACAACACTTTTATACAGCATTTGGTTCCAGGGAAATGGAGAGGGGAGAGGAGCGAAATCCCTCCTCATCTACTTTTAATTCCCCTTCTAATATTGGAGAGATTTGGAGAAGTGGAGAGAAAATTTAAAACATTTTGAGTAAATGTCTAATAATCTTTATTTATGTTTATTCAAACCTACAAAGTCACAAAAGTAAATTAGTCTTTAAAATCCTTCTCCTATTGTGAACCATACAAGGAAAAAAATTATTTTCTTTCCCCTTCATTAAAATCCCACCATTCCCGTTCTCTGAATTAAACAATTTCTAACACGTTCCTTTTTCTTTCCTCTCCTCCCTTCTTCCCTTGAACCATAACCTATCAAACATAGGATATTCTAGACGAGAAACATTGGTAAGTAACAGGAATGAAAAAGGCAGCACTTCAACATAACACGAGCCCAAAAATTGACAATAAACTAATAAACTCTACTATCAGTTCATAAACTCTGTACACCAAAAAGTGTAGAAGTTTAACTTTACAACAAGGAAGTTAGGTAGGAGTTACTGTCATTCATCATGAAAATTGAAGCTTCATTGTGCAACTCAGCAACTGGTCACGCCTTCACTATAAACAGCTGCTCCCAGAAAATGGAGGTATAGAATACAGATGTAATAACAGCCTGAACTATAAACCACAAATCAACTAAAGATTTCATTCTCAAACTGGCTCACTTGTTTATCATCAGTCATCATAGTCTTCTTATCCAGCTCCAAATAGTATATCTTGTCATTCATACCCTCTTTTCTATATGCCTCGATCATGATGGAGTATGTTGTGTCGTCTGGCTGACATTGACTATCTTTCATACGCTTGAAAACTCTCTCCATTTCCATCAAATCCTCTGCTTTTGCACACGCAGATAAGACTGCATTATAAAATTCTATATTCTCGGGTATCTCAAACTTTCCGGCCAAGCGAACACTGCTAATTACTTTATGGAAGAGACCTGCACCTGCATAACCATTGATAAGGCAGCAGAAAGTTTTGGTATCTGCTTTCATACCCTCAGCCCGCATCTGATCAAATGTACACTCCATGTGCTTTGCATCACCTGCTTCTGCAAATGCCTCAATCACATTGTTATAAGTAGAGGTTGTCCATGGAAATTGCAGCTTACGCATATACTCCATAACAGATGACATTTTGTCATACATTCTTTTCTTCCCATAGGCGCCAATCAAAATATTAAAAGTGCGTGTCTCAGGTTCTATACCAAAATTACGGAACTTTTCATACCATTTCTCCATCATATCAATCTGACCCATATTACCAAAGACACTGATGATTGTGTTCATTGTCCAAACATCAGGCTTGCATGTAGTGCTCTCCAGCATGCTGGACAGCACTTTCTCCATCAGGTCAAACTTCCCCGCCTTGCCATAACCACTCAAAACAATGTTCTGAGTAACCGTGTTTGGCATGATTGACCTTTCAGCCATTTCTTCATACAGCAACTCAACCAAATCAAACTTGAAAGCATCCACACAAACTTTAATCAAGGTGCTGTAAGTGAAAACATCAGGCTGGCAAAGAGGAAGCTTCTTCATCTCATTAAGAACCAAAAATGCCTCATCAATCAAGTTGCTCCTACAATACGCCGAGAGCAACGCCGTGTACAGTGCGGGAGTAGGGTCTAAACCCTCTTCAATCATTGTGGTAAAAAGCTGATGAGCACGGTGAGGTTGACCAGATTTACCAAGCAACACAATAAGTTTCATGTAAGTCCCTTCTTTGGGTTGGTAAAAGGTTTGTTCTCTAAGCATATCAAATACCTGAACATTTAAGGAGAATTCTATCAATAGTTTAAGTGGCATGTCCTCAAAATATTTTAGACTGCGAACCAAGAAATTATTTTTTGTATGATTTTAAAGATAATTATTATAAAAAGTCTCAATTACACACTCTTTTTTACTCTTTATTATTAGTGGAAATTTGTTAAAAACTACAAAGTTTCAGTCATTAAATTAGACATAAAACCCACAAAATTGTAATTTTCAATAAATTTGTAAACTCATTAATATTCTTACTAGCATTTCTCTATTATAAAAAAAAAAAAGTTAACAAATTTATATATGTGGTGACTGTTTGTGATTGAATGGCAGTATAAAATGAGTGTATATATGTTTATTCACTTATCAAACCATGAAATTGACGACTAAATAAACAGTCTACAATAAAACTATTTATTCTATAATGTAAAAAGTGTTGAATTTGATAAGGAAATGGTGAAGTAAGAGAGAGAGACCTGAAGGGCTTGAAGCCACTGCTTCTTGTCGATGCGTTCAGATAAGGATTCGGTGACGGTGTTGACCCATGCCTTTGCCTCATTCTTTTTCTCCAATTTCTTCTTGATGTTCTTAATGGGGGTCCTCCTCGTACTGTGGGGCAACGATGTTTCGGAAGTACCAGGAAACTCTCCTTGTTTCCAGTGCCTCTTTTTGACAACGGAATTGGAAGGAGGAGCTGAAATGGCGAAACGGGTGACCCGAAAGATGGGATTTTGGGCGCGGGTTTTGGTGGATTTGTCGAGGGGAAATGGAGTGGGAACTATGGAAGAAGAAAAAGAGAAAGAGATGGAAACCATAGCCACAGAAGAAAAGAGTGTGAGTGAGGCTCAATCCAATTCACCATTCTCTCCCCCCAAACAACATGATATTCTACCACATTTTTACTTCACTCTCATTTTTGCTTATTCATTTCTCCTTTTTTATTAGGTCACATTATACATTATATTTATATTTATACTAATACTAATGAGTCATGTTACAAAAATAGAGAAAATTGATGATACAAAATATAGAGAAACAATAAGAATATCATTTCATTTTCTATGATTATTTTTCTTTTTTTAGCATCAAAATTATAATGAATGTATCAAAATTTGAACATGAAAATTTTTGTTAGTTTATACTCCATTGTGTAGTGATCTGTTTATAACTTAACAATATAAATTAAATCAATCTTCAAATAGACAAATTAGCATAATTTTTTTGTTATAAAACCGGAAATTGATGCCTCTTTCTGTCACAAAGTAATATATATATTCATTCTCAGTAAAATTAAATTCAAAAGTAAATTGCTTTTTTTTTTTATCAATTATGTTTAGTGCATTCTAATCAAGAAATTTTATAGTAAGTGTATAATTTTAAGAAGGTTCAACTATTTTTTTAGTCAGACACAAATTTTTTGCTTTTAGTCTCTATTATTTCAAATAATATGTTTTAGTCTTTCCACAAACACATTTTTTTTAAATTAGTCTATGTCGTTAATTTATGTAAGGTTGTTTACTTTTCTTTTTTTTTTGTCAAGGTGACCATTAAAATGTTGATCTATCTTAGTTTGATCATTGATGGGTTAAAAAATGAGTTGTAACATGATTTTCACCGGTTAACATAACATTAAACCTTCAAAAATGGTTATTACAAGTTGAAGACTCAAGCCTCCACTAATAGTAGTGCAGACCGTAGTTGCAAAAAAATAAATATCCATATAGGATTTACCACATAGGACAGCATCTCACAAAAAAAAATTAATGGATTTCATAATCACATAAACCACATCAAACACAAAATAACAGTAAGAACTAATTTAAAAAATAAATGTTTTTGCATAGAAATTAAACATTTTTCTAACAATAAAGACTAAAAGAAAAATTCATAAATATATAAAGACTAAAAAGATAATTAAATCATTTTAGAAATATCACATGCGTTATGTTAAAATTTTGATTTTTATAAGTAACTTTTATTTTCAATCTAATTCTTATAAAAGATTATTGATTCAAATTTTTTAGTGAAACAAAATAAAGTTTGCATTTTTTTATTTGGAAAATCAAGAGAATAGTAAGAATTATAATTTTATTATTATTATTATTATTATTATTATACCCTTTTAATTGATTTTTTGTATTAAATTATGATTAAAATAATCGTAATAAAATGGTATGATTCATTCCTTAACATCTCCCTCGTTCAATTAAAGATGTATTCATTCGATCGGATTGATCAATTCCTTAACCAATTATGGTTGCAAAAATTTAGTACCATGAACTGTGTGAGGTGAACAGCAGGATATACAAACGAGTAATGACCCAAATGATTACTGGACTTATATATGACAAATAAATAGAAGGTCAATTTTATGATAAAATATTATAGAACTGCATGTTACTTCCGAAGATAACTGCACCAGTTCAAAATACATCTGCACCTGACCCATTTCTTGAGCTCCAGGATTGACTTTTGTATGAGAATGGAGATTCCCACGTTTCGTATTTTTATGATTAGAGAGAACGGTGAACGCATATTGATATTGTATGGCACGAATTTGTCTGTTTGTGTATCCATATTAAACTAATGGCATAAATATATAGATCATATTCCTGTAAGGAGACACAAAATCTTTATCTCTAGAAAGAAATTAGTCTCTACTTATTGATCAGGAAATCCTTAGCGCAAACCACCATATAATTGAAAGAATATTAAACAAAACCGTAAATATTTAATATTTATATTTATTGATCAATACAAGTCAAATTGCTTACACAGTTTTATCCCTGTCATTACACACATAATGGCCTAATAACAAAGCATTGACCCCACAATCATGATTCTGTTCTGAACAGCTCAAGTGTCAACCAAGGGTTTTCCCCATACATATTGATGACAGCAACTATTACTATTGATCTATACTATCATGTGTATACCCCAAAGCTAGGACTTGCAGAGTTTCTAAAAAATATGAAAAAAGGTATAGCAGAAAACACCTGATATACATGTAGCATTATATTGCCCCATACTCCAATGACTCCCAGTTGAAGGGCTGGAACACATAGTAAACTCTAGGTGAGCTTTTGAAGAGCAATGCCACACAGACACACACAGCTGCTATGGCCACCATGGAGAGCATCACTGGCCTATAAACCACTGCTATTCTCATGCCACCATAAGCCACCTTGTGCTGGCATACCCTACATTGTTGTGTCATTGCTGTGGTTTCAATCTTCTCAGTCTGTAAACTTGAAACTTTACATCTCCTGTGCCCTTCTGTTTGTTTCTGCTTTGAGTTACTATCCACAACAGTTCCAGGGATGTCAACCACATGTTGTCTTTCATCTTTTTTGTTGGTCTTATTTTGGACAAGTTGAATGTATGAGTAATGGCCCCGAAGGCGTGCATAGTCTATGGGGGTCGAACCGGTACTGTCCCGGGCACTTTCCCATGCTTCAATTCCTACCTGAACACAACAGAAACACATAAGAGTCAAAACATTGTGTGCTAAATTGTGATTAGTAATTCAATCTGGACCAATGAAAATATGCTGCAAACCATGCAAGTTTTCCGCCTTCATAGCTATCTCAGTTCAAACTTGGATAAACTATCTTACGTTGCTCTTTTCCTTGTAATCAGCTCCCCTTTACCCCCACACTTTGAAATAGTTCCAACTTCCAACACAAAATGCATGAAAATATATAAAGTATACAAACAAGAAGAATACCACCAAAACTCTCTCTAGCACTCTTTATTATTGGAAATTACAAATTTTATGGGTCCTGCATTTTATTTAATGAGTCTCTATCCTAATTTAATAGTGAGACCTACCAAAGTTTGTGATTGTCAACAAATAGTAGAGAGAATGCTAGAAATAGTGTCACTAATATTTTTATACAGACAATAAAGGAATTACCATTCGTGGATCATCAGTTAATGCATCCAACACATTCTCGGAGCCACTCATACTTGCTGCAACATGAAGAGGAGTCAACCCAGCTGGCCCAACAGCATCAGGTCTAAATAAGAATCTGTCAGGGACCTTGTCAACTTGCTTCACTTCACTGTCTGCACCATCTGAGGTTTTAACTGGCACAAATCTTAACAGTAGTTCTACCATAGGCCTACAGTTTCTCTTTACAGCTCTGTGTAGAAGACTCATCTCCAACAATGCAAGCTCAACGGAAGCATGCTCTCCTGCATCAACACCACCCCCAGATACAATGTCCAAGAGCTTTTTCATCACAGCACACCAACCATGGTCCATGGAAAAATCAATGAGCCACATGAACCGTTTGAATGGGAAGAGATCATGGATAGGAGCCATGGTACCTAGCCTAACTTTCACATGACTTCTATGAAGGAGCCAACCCATTTCTTGTAAGAAATCCAAAGCTCTAGTCTTTTCTTCAATTTGTTGGTTTTTTATCTGGATGTCATCAGTGGTTTCAGCTGACTCTATCACATTCTCCAACTTGCAGATCTCTGCACAAACTTCTTGTTCTGCAACTATAAATGGAAATGAACAACTGCTAAGACCGTGGTCTTCCACCTGACAGTAAAAATTAACAAATATAATTTCAGAAGCTAGCAAAATAGAAAAGGCCATTTTCAAATCCATTGCTTCAAAGCATATTTCAATTTACTGAAAAGAAAAACCCAAAAAACCAAATGGTTAGAAAAAAAAATTTGGTGTATGATAAAGTGATACCACCTCAATAAACCCCCTCCCAGTTATACTTGGTATATGACAAGAAAAGCTGAGATGCTGAATGGGCGCATCAGCTCCATCAATCAAATCATGACAATTAGCATGTATCAGATACTTCCCTTCAAGTGCACAGAGCAACCTGGAAATCATTAGCAACAATATCAAAATAATGCCAATTCCCCCCAAAAAAGAACTTGCATCTTCCCTATGTCCAAAATCATTCACAGAAAATGAAGAACTAGATCCAATTTAAACCCTGGAACTTGAGTAAATGTGTCCATTCCCCCACCTCCCACCCCCCCCCCCCCC